ATGCTGCGCTGGTCTTATCAGTAATAGAAATGTTTGCATTCATGTTTAAAATGCATTTCTTGGATTGCAGTTGGACATTTAATAGGATGACAGTGCTGAAGTGGACAGTTTGTAAGGTCAGAAGCAGAAAGCTATCTATATGTATTCAACGTGCGTCAGATACCATTCTATACATGGTGGGCTGTACATGCCATGCACAGATGAGGAACAGTGAATCACTGAGCTACAGAGCTGAGAGAGGAGTTCTGGAAGGTCAAGTACACAAATGTCCTCAAGGATTTGGTGTTACAGTAGGAGCCAGGACTAAATCTCAATGGCAAACAGTTTTATCCCTAAGTGGAACTTACAGACATTTCAAGATTGTTTCAATTTTATGTGAAAACAGGGCAAAATCTTCTCTAATTAAAAACACAAGACAGACGCCTACCTCTAGATAACCCACAAGGCTACTTCTCATGGCATGCATTCTTGAGATGGCTAAACTCAGATTCAAATTTCCCATTTAAAGTTCCCATTTCTCCAGGTTCCCTTTCCCAAGTATCTTAACTGTTCTCTGATTCATACTGTGCAGCTTTGGATTATTAAATAACTCCTCCAATGGGGAGGAGTCCTGACCCTGACTCCCCGCCTCAAGCCTTGTGTTAGTGTCCTGATTCTGGGACAGATTTTGTTCCCTCTAATTTTGGTGAGAAAGTCCATCCTGGTGGTTCCTAATCTCTCCTGTTAAAGTATTTGGTTGGCACTTCAGGATGACAATTTGTGTCTTTAATTCACTGGAATTTTTTGAAGACAATATAAGACAATGCCATGGACATTTCTGGTTCATGAAAGAACAGACTATTTAATTGTCAGTGACTTCCCTATGGGGTTACGTTGCTTCTTCCTAGCTCCTGGTGCTGTTTCAGATTATATTCTAAGACAGCTCACAAATAGCATATGACATGGTTTTATTCCATAAAATAGTCTGGGAAAGTTCACCCTGTTTTGGAAGGAAGAGAACAGAGGTATGTAACTATAATCCCTAATGTGCCACCTGGCCCTAAAGCCAGGAAATCATGTGTGGCCTGATTCATGCCAGTAGAAGAGAGACATAGCTGAGGAGATTTCTTATTCTGCAACATCTGGACTCAAATTCTTGAAGAATTCCAACTGTCAAGCTCATTTTTGAGACTCTACATCCTAAAAATATCTCATGCTGCAAACAAAAAAACATATTAAAACACAGCAACAACAACAACAAACAATACATAAAGCTGTTATGCGACAGGCATGACTTTCACTATTCCTTTTATATCCCATACAACTCAAATTAAGACCTACATGTGCACAGAAGAATTGCAAAACAGGTGCTGCATGCAAAACACAACATAGCTCTGAAGGTCCATGGGAAACCCATGGCACCCCCCTGTCAGTGCTCCATAAGCTGTAACAGAGCCAGGTACAGCACTTTGCAGAGCACTGTTGATTAAAACTGCACCTCTTGAAGGCACAGGTTCCAGAAATAGGTAAAAAATATGGTACAAAAATAGCAAAAATGACATCAGAAATCCCAAATTCAGATCTCACCTTTTTTACAGAGACAGTGCTTTGGTCCATATCAATTAAAACACCAAGTCTCTAATTCTGACTCTGTTCAGGTGTCAGAGTATTGCCAGAAGCCTTGGTGGAGTCAATTTTTTGGTGAGGAGTCAAGTTTTCAAAAAGATTCTATCAATTTGCTTACAGATTAATATATACATCAGTTGTGTCCTGAGTTGCTTAGCAAGCATTTTTTGGAGATTCCGATTTTTATGCTTTCCAATGTTAACTAAATTTTAATAATCAATTTTTTTTTTTTAACTTCAAAGGAAATCCAGACCCTACCATTACTCACTGTCTTTAGACTAGAAACCATTTAGAACAAGGATTGTCTCCTTTGGGCATTAATATGATATGAATATTTGCTACTACTTCTCCCTCATAGTACAGAGATGGATCTTGCTTGCAGTCATACCAGAATCTATCACACTGGACGTAGTGAAGAGGAAAATGTAAGCATCCCTACACTTTGCAACATGTGCCATGCTGAGCTATTCAAAGCTAACTTGGGAAACAGACTGCACTTTCTCAGCAAGCCTAATTAGACCAAGCACATGAACCAATGAGATTAGGTTGTTTCCATGCTACAGTGACATTATCAGGTAGGAAGGAGCTTTGCTACTTGGTTGTATTGCACTCTACTGGCCTACTATAGAGATGCTATCTGGAGGTCAGAAGTAAGATTGAGGCAGGACTTAGTAATTGCTCTTTGATCCTGCCTTTTTTTAAAGTAAGAGCTGCTATTGAGAAGTAATCTTGCACAGAACAAGATAATGCTCCCTCCTGCCGTAACAGTTCTTACTAGAACAGCACTGTTTTAACTTTTCTGGTTGTCTTATTACCCCTTAAAAAAACAGGTGTTACACACTATTGTCAGTGCCTGTGGTTGGGTGAGTAGGACAATTTTTATGCTTTGCTTTTACCTCTTTCTCTAGTCTCTTTCAACTTGATTTGCACAGATATGAAGCTGGATTAAGGAGATGGCACATTCCTAAGTGCCTTCAGCAGGCAGTCACCACTTTTGGTCACTGTTTTGCCTTGTGATGCCATTCCTGAGAAAAGTTATTCCACCAGAAATATGTTAATGTTGAAAATATATATTGAATTTTGAACTCTTAAAGAGTTATCTTTCTTTCTATTTTGCATCAGTGAAAGTTCCTGAGGAATTAGAAATCTATCCTACACAAATGGCATTGAAGGCTTAATAATGTTTTATTCTAGCCTTTGTTTAAAATAACAGTGTTGTTTTTTTTTTTTTCTTGGGCACATCTCCATAACAACATGGACTGTAATAATTAAACATCAGATCTAAAGGACTGAAGATCTGGTAGCCCATCGATATATTCTTGAACCATCTACTCTAATCTTCTCACTATAAAATTACATGCACTATATAAAATATTTGCCAGAGATCACCAGATATTTCAATCTGTAACTCTTAGAAGAGAAATTAGTCATGCTGATTAATTCAGTAATTTCAGATTTCACCAACGTTTATCACAAGATGGCTAACAGATAGTACAGTCAGTAGCAAAGACACTCGACATTCTTGTTCCATAATCATATTTCCCCAAATACTGTTATGAATCACAATCTTGTTGCCCAAATGCAATGACTCTAGATGGCATAGCAATTGTCTGCCAACCCATCATTTTAGTTTTTGATATTCAACACTGCACCTGCACAACAAGGTGTTGTTTGAAATATAAAGTCATGCCCTACTGCAGCTCATTTGTATGGATTTTTATTCTATGTTCTGGATTTCTGTTAAATATAAGAGACAGATGCTGGTCTTATTAATTCAGGGTTGTAACTTTCAATGTGATAGCCTACAAAAGCTCAAAGCAAAGCTGAGATGAACAATCTGGTCAGACAAATGCATTACAGACACTTTAAACTTTACAGTGCACACATTTCTTCAACAGGTTTTCAGTGTCCTGAGAATGAACTGTTACACTAACCATCACCATGGAATGAACCATTTTGGATTATTTTCCCACACCAACTGTGAATCATCTCTATGAAAACCAATATTCCATCCTACAAGGTGGAATTTAGTTGTAATGCAGCAATATTACGTGGAAGTTTGACACAAGGAAAAAAAAAAAACAAAACTCTTTAAAAGAAGGTAGGAAAATTTAGATGGGTTGTATACAATTTATTGGGTGAATATTTTAGTTATCAACCCCTGGGAAAAAAATCCTTCATAAGAACAAATACAACCTCCCTTTGTCACACAATCATCAGAAATACAGTTAATTATTCATTTCAGTAATAATGCTTCCTTTAAAATTTGTCAACCAAATATAAACTGGCCTTAGCCCTTCTTACCTTGTGAAAATTGGTATGGCTGCTAGTTCAGTGTGCCACTTTGCCAATCACTTCACCTTTGGAAATTCCCTAAATTCCAGTCTTCCATTCAATCATCTGATATATGTTTGTAAAAATACTGTATATCCCTGGCTGTACTGCTATGAACCTGAAATACTTCTTGTAAGCCTACCTTTCAGTTATGAAGATACCATACAATAGATATTTTTATGTCCAAGGTGGCTCTTTCACTGAAAATACCCCATGGTTCTTTCCTTACATGTTAGTAATGAGAGTGCATGCTTCACTGCTTGAAAGCACAATGGCTTAAGTATCTCGTATTATCAAATGCAACATTAATCCATTTCACCTAAACTGACAGGCAGAAAGATGTTTTTTCTGCTCATGTGTTAACTGCTTGATTTCCACTCTGATACAAATGACAGTTATAATGAGTTGCATAATACAGATACTTGGCATGTCATATCAGCCACGAAGGACTGGTCCTAACATCTCTCAGGACAACACATACTCCAGATGCAATGGCATTTAACTCAAGAGGCAGCTGTCCTTAAATGTGGAGATGAGTATCCAGGATTCAGTTTTGCCCTGTTTCCATTGTTCAAAATACATTTGCTTGCAGTAGTTATATATGGATTGAGTCTCCTCAAGGCTATCAGTTTAATTTTTGCACACGCATATTGTTCTTAATTAAACAAATACTCAAAAAATGACAGTAAAATCTAACTAAACTATTCCCAAATTTAGGTTAAACATAGATTTTTACACTGCTTTCTACAAACACGTGAGGAAAACAACTTAACTGTCAGTTTCATTCAGGGCTGGTCTTTAAGATCACATAAGGATTAGATAACTGGGTTTCTTACTAAAAGCAACCCTGGCCCTAGCACACTGTTACTGTACAGAAGGAACATGCTTCTGATACAGACTGGCAAAGTGAAATTACTCTTTAGGTAGTTTGGTATGAGTTCAAAGTATCTTCTGCTGGCAGCAGAGCCACTTGTGTGGATGTTGGAGAATCACAGACTCTGTGTATTTGCTGTTCTTCTGTGTTGTGTCTGTATCAGTCCTACAAAGATTTCTTTTTGACAGTGACCTACAGAGGGCCAAAGGATAGGAGCTCCTTTACCTTGATGCTAGAGAAGGGTAAGGGCAAAGCTCAGTTGTTTACCAGATCCAGTTCCATTTTCTGTCTATATATTTTCCACTTGTCTCACATTGCATTGCAAATTATTTGGGGCAAGCCACCCTTTTTTTTTTTTTTTTTTAGAGAACCAGCTGCTGAAAGCACAGTATTCTGGTCATGATTATGGTGGTACTGCAGGCAATAAACAGTAAAAATACTGTTAGTCAAATAAAAAAATAAAGAAACTGTATCATATAACATGCTCATGCTTCATAGACCAGCCTAAACTGGGAGACACCCATGAGGATCACCAAATGCAATTCTGGAAGGCTTTGTGCCATGATCACTGCCCTGGGGAGCCTGTTCCATGCCCACCAACCTCTAGTGAAGAGCCTAACACTCAACCTGACCCACTCTTGATGCAGTTCCATGCTGTTTGCTTGGATCCTGTCACTGTCACCAGTGAGAGATCAGCACTGCCCCTCTGCTCCCCTCATGAGGAGCTGTAAACCACCATGAGTCCTCCCCTCAGCCTCCCCTGCTCTGGGTTCCAGTGGCTCTTCATATATCTTGTCCTCTAGATCCTTCTTAGTTAAGGTAACTGGATGCTGAGATCCACTTCATGAAGACAAACAAGTGGGATAAACTTAATGCACTTTATGGTAAAATTTACTGGCATTCCTCAGGGAATAATTAAGGAGGTACTACTTTACCTTCATTAGCATTTAAATGCTAGCAAGGCAAAAGGAAAATACACAACTTTTACCCTTGTCAAGAATGTTTAAGAGCTTGGCTACCTGTTGGGGGAAAATAATGAAACAATAATGCTAAAAAGAGACTTTTGTTTTGCCTACACTTCAAATATTTCCCTAGGGCAAATGTTCTGTACAGCTTATTCCTGTAACTGTGGCAGCTGTGGGTGCCAATGGACCTCAATGAATTGCATCGAAACAGCAAATCTTTAACTGCAGAGGACACAGGACTGTAGCTGGAGTGTGAATTTTCTTTTTATCCAGATGTTCCTCCCTAGCTACATCCAGACTATTTTCACAGTTTTTCTTTGCCAGTCCACACTTGACCAGATTCAGCTTATCTTTCCAGGTAAGTAATGCCTTAATGAGGAAATGATATGAAGGAAAAGAGCGGGTTCCTTACAGAAGGATGTACTATACTGACTGCCTGAAGAAACGAGGGGACCTAACCACAGATATCTGAAAATTTAAAACTGCCATTGAGAATGGTCAAATGTTGCTTCCTTTAATTCAGGCTTTGCCTTGCTTTCTGTAGTCTCCCTGATACCAATTTATGGAGTAAGGTATTAGCTAATAAGACTAAAAACGGTAGAACCTTCTAAAAGAAGAATGATATGAAAAATAGAAATAGCAACTGCAAAATTCAATTTAGTTTTAAGTATTGTCAACACACATATTGTACTTACAAATGTCCTCGTAACATATTAAAAAAAAAAAAAAAAGCAAAAGACAAAACAAACAAACAAACAAACAAAAAAACACCAATGAAGTCTCAATAATATGAAACCTCTGTAAAAAAGTACTTATTAAATCTTGGAGAAAAAATGGAGAAGGTTCCTTGGTGTATGCAAATTACAGCAGAACAGGATGAGTGAAGTGCAAATGCCACAGTATCATTCGTATATTTTAATTGTGGGTAATAGCAGATTTTCAGCGTTCTAAGTCGAGGAATTGTGATCACTTCTAAGACAGAACTGAATATATTAACTGCTCTTGAGACCGTATCAAGACGGTTTCTTCCTGCACAGAGCAAGACATAGTAGAATATGCTTAAAAGGCTCTTTGATCCTATTGAATGCTTAAAGATACTGGAATAGTGCCAGTAAGTCTTGAGGAAGAGGTTAGGCAGAACAGAAATTTTATTAATTGCCAAAATACCAAAATATCCCAAAATAGTGACATCTAATGTACTAAGGCCTACAAAAACATTAATTCTTTGTGGTTCTACTGACTGAGTCTCCTAGACCACCATGAGTTCTTTTTTTCCCCCTTCTTCCTTCAGGGGAAATCATTAGTATGCAAGCATATTTGATCTTAACATACACAATGGCCATGCTTTTTTCAGTTCCCAATTAGTACTGGATAGAAAACTGTCTTGGATCATATCACTGTGTAGGCAGGAGTGGACTGAATAACTGGAATCCCACAGCCATTTATGAGAGCTGCTGAGTTCCACTCAAAAGCTCACTGGTCAGGCTGCAGTTAGAGATCTGCTGGGGGTTCTGCTGCCTATTGGCAGGGAAATATATTTTAGGAAAATTTAATCTCATGGATGCTCATTCATTGAAAATAATGCAAGTTATCTTCAGATGCCATTTTAGTCTGGAGGAGTTATGCTTGTATGATATTATCAGGCCTCTTTCTGATTTGTCTTTTACTAATAAAAATCAGAAGTGAATTTACTGACGTGAAAGTAACGGCTCCTGGGACTTGAACATTACACAGGTTGATGTTTGGATCTAGCTGCAACCTGTCCTTCTAAAATTATGAACAGTCTTTGGTTAACTTGTACCTTGCACAACTAAGGTCTGTTTTTGACTGGCTTTCTCAGGTCTTGTTTTCAGTTAATTGTAGAAAAAAATGTAGGGATTATTTCTCTTTTTCCCTGTTTGTATAGAACCCATTCTGCTCACTGGAGCAACCTCATAGAAACCAATTGGATAACTCAGTTTTTCTGTAAATGAATTTGGAAATTGTGATTTCATTTTTGTTTTCACTTCAAAATGGAATTAAAGTTAAACTTAAAATGAAGTAAAAATCTGAAAAAACTGTTCAAACAGAGCAAGTAAAACTGAGACACTTAAATCTGATCCAGACAATGCAGTTTAAATTTTTATGGAAAAGAATTTGTCAAAATGATACACTTCATATTTAGATTAAATGCCATTTTTCCATAAAAATTCGGCAATGACAAAACCTCCCCACAAAACTCATCCAGTTCTGCTCATGACGCTGCAGGAGTTTATAATAAAAGATTGATAAAAGAGGCAATAAAATATAATCCTACTTTCCTCTTTAGCATTGTTTTATATGCAACACTGGAATCCTTAGGGATGCTTCTGGATTATAATAGACTTCCTTCTCTTACAGTGATGCAGTGGTCTCCTCTAGCATTACTTACGCTAGGGCAGCCTCAGCTATCGACTAGAAGCCTAAATACATCAGGTAGTGTAGAAAGCAAGGTAGTCCCTACTTTGAAAGGGATGAGGAAGTCTTCATGTTGTCAGGATGTGTACTATTCTGCATGCTTCAACAGTGCAGAAGATAGTTTTGCTTCCCTGGTGAATCTGAGTCTGGAAAATGCAAAACAAGAGGGCACTCCCCTTGTTACCTCCTCCCCCAAAGCTCCATGCATTTGTGAAAACCTAAAACTTCCATTTACTCTGCAGCTTTTAACAGGAAGTCTGCTTTTTAATCTCTTGGGACATGGGCAACCTGGCCTCTAGTTTGAGAGTTGCTGCTTAGTGGAAGAAAATAAAAAAGGCAGTGCACTGTCTACCGTGACCCTTCCTCTAGCCTAGCGCTCTGAAAATAGTTACACGCATTTCTTATCCACCACCCACTCCTGAACAATGCTGAGAAAACTCAGTGATGTCTGACAAAGATAGTTAAGAGTCTGTGCATCTACCCGTCTCCTTTCTCAGTTCCTCCCAGAAGAGAAAAGTAACCCATGTCTTAGATTAAAATGAAAGTTCATCCAAGCTCAATGTGCATAAAATGTGTCACCCACAATGCGTCGTTCAGAAATGAAAATGTAGAGGTGTGTAAACAACAAATAACCTCAAAAAAGAAATAAGCCTCCCTCCCCCCTCAAAAAAAAAAAAAAAAGGTTATCAAATATGCATTTGTTTATCACAGTCAAGTTTTATGATTGAAACCTGATTCATATATATTTTATGAAGAGAATATCCATTGTGGTGGCAAAATTAAATGTATTTTGAAACTTGTATGTGACATTTATCTATCTGCTCTATCAGAAAAAAGTTGTCATATTCATTCAGACATATATTACTTTTTCAATTTCCTGTCAGTAATGTTTTTTTAATGTTCTTTAGGGTGAGACCACACAATTTCTCCTTTCTCACAACAAAGAACATAACTCATTATAATTATGTTAATGAGTTTATACCTAGAAAAGTTGTATCAGTTTTTTAGAGGTGAACAAATTTGCACCTTTACCCATTGATAATCATGATTTTTTTTTTTTTTACTTTTATTTTTAAGACATAAGGGTCAGGTAGAAAATTGTTGACTCCTTTCCCCCTCTTCTTTTACAGATGTTCGTCATCTAAAATACAGACTTATGGTGCATTCTTATGATGATTCAGGTTCTATTGGAAACCACAAAAGATAAAAAAAGATAGCACAAGTATTGAAACTCTTTATCACATATCTTTCTTTCCAAAGGGGGTGATTTTGATAGGAAATTTGGAGAAGAAAAAAAAAAAGCTGTTTAAGAATAAGTTGTGCTGTGCCATAGTCAAAGCCAAAGGGACCTAGTTAGAGAAGAAACAGGAGCCAATTAGAGTGAGTTAATTGACAAGAAGCAACAGTTCCCTTACAGAAGATAGGCTGGAGAAGTGCAAAGTGGAAACAGCAACTTCTGTCTCTCAGTTGCTATTAAAGTAATACCGTAATAAGAACGTTATCTTGCACTCCATACATACATTCATTGTAATGTCTGCAGATGCTTTTCAAATGCAATTGAGTCTAGCCTTGAGTAAAAAGGCTGTATGATTGTCTGTTCCTGCTTAGTAGATTACTAAAGACACCCCTGCTTTAGAATTATGTGGCAAGATTTTTCTAGCAGGAGGTCTGAAGTGTTGGGTCCCTGTGAACAGAGCCCAGCAGCTGCCTCATGTCAGATCAGAGCCAGCCCCAGCTGCTCCAAAAGGGACCTGCTGTTGCCAGAGCTGAGCCATGAGACTGGCTGTGACTCTGGAAGGGCAGACTTAAGGAAGGGAAGCACTGCTGTGCAACAGCAGCTGGGAGAGAGGAGTGAGAAATGTGAGAGAAACAGCTCTGCAGCCACCAACCAAGGTCAGTGCAAAAGGAGGGCAGAAGCTGCTCCAGATGTGGAGCTGAAGTTCCCCTGCAGCCCAGGAGGGGCCTGTGGTGGAACAGCTGTCCCCCTTCAGCCCTTGGGCACAATACAGAGCCTATCTCCACACGTATTCTTGGAGAAGCCCACAGGGCAACAGTGGATGTGGCCTGGAGGAGGCTGCAGTGGGGCAGCAGGGCTGGGAGTGCTGCTGCCTGCAGAGACCCATGCTGAAGCAGTCTTCTGAAGGATGGACCCCATGGTAAGGAGCCATGTTGGAGCATTGCTGGGAAAGCTTCAGCCTGTGGGAAGCCCATCGAGAGTCATTTTGGAAAGGACAGCATCCTGTGGAACAGACACCACTCTGGAGCAAGGGCAGAGTGACCACGAAGGAGTGGCAGAGATGAAGTGTTCTGGATTGACCACAGCCCCCGTTCCTCATTCCCTTGTGTCAGACAGGAGGTAAAGAAGGTGGAAGAGAGGGGTGGGGAGATGTGTTTTTAGCTTACTTTTAGCTTCTCACTGCTCTAGTCTGTTAGCAATAGGCAATAAATTGCATTAAACTCCCTACATTGAATGTTTTGCCTGTGATATTCATTGGTGAGCAATCTCCCTGTTCCTTAGCTTATGAGCTCTTTCCACAGTATTTTCTCCCTCTGTTCTGTTGAGGAGAGGGAGTAATGTGGTTGAGCTTAGCCTTCAGTGTGAAATCACCACAACCATCCACAATACAGACTAAAGTAAAATAATAATAATAATAATAATAATAATAATAAAGAGAAAAAAAAGAGGAGAATTCCATGAACAACATTCCGTTTTTGTTTCTGAACAAAACCAGAATATTTGGAATGAAATATGAGCTCCTCCTTTGAACATACATAATATTTGGGAGTAAATACAAATCTTAGCAATATTTAGTGACGTTGGAAATAATTATGATGGTAGAGCTTCAAAACATGTTTGTTCAGCTTAACTTAAATGTGTAGCTTAAACTATTCGAATGCAGGTGCTAAGGTGGTTTTTAGGATAGAAGTTCTTATGTTGGTTGATGCTGTGCTGGAAATTCTTTTAAACTAGCCTTAGGATTTAGTACATCCTAACAAAAATAATAGGTAAGTGCCCAGTGAAATGCATTAAGTAATTTATCAAAGAGAGAGATTTCATCTTGACTACCAGAAGAATCTCATAGATGAAAAGTTCATTTATTCCCAACTGGTTTCTAAATGACAATTTGCCACAGATTAGACACTTAATCCTACTTGCAAGAAAAGCTACTGAATAGAAAGTCCCTCCTTTCACATTTCTATCCATTATTTAGTTCAAGTTGAGTACACATTAAATAAGTAAAGCAGATATCATTACCTTTCATCTCTAGGATGCTAATTCTCTATTTACACAGGAAACATAAACAAGTGAACAAGCAAAACAGGACCACGGTTTTCACAAAAATCAAAAAAATACTCCAAACAGAGTAAGTGACCATCATCAGGTGCTACTGGGATCTGAGTTAAAACTTCAGTGACTACCATATGGAGCTTAAGATTTTCCTAGACTGCAGGAGAGTCCTTTGTCCTCTTCAAAGACCCGCTTGGAGGAATCCCATGGGTTAGAGCATCGGAAGGTAAGGGGACCTAAGAGAGTTGGTTGATGTTCAGGCACCACTTCCTCCAAGCTGAAGTTTGGCACATCCCTAAGAGTAAGAAATCACATAAAAGTTGCAGGAGACTCACTCACATGGTTAAGTAAGAAGCTCATAGAAAAACTCTAAGGAGGGTTAGGAAAAGGTTGAGGTTCTCAATGCCTTTTCTACATTTGTCTTTAGTAGTCAGACCAGTTATCCTTGGGCTACTCTACCCCATTACCTGGAAGTCTGAACTGGGAAACTAAAAATCAGTCAGCCTCATTTCCACCCCTGGTAAGGTGATTGAACAGATTTTTCTGGATGTCATCTCCAACTAAGTGGAAGACATAAAATCATTAGGATTAGTCAACGAGGATTCACCAAGGAAAAATTATGCTTGACCAATCTGGTAGCCTTCCACAAGGTCACAACTGGCTGGTTAGATGAGGGAAGAGCAGTGGATGTTGCATACCTTAACTCCACTAAAGCTTTTTACTCAGTCTCCCATAGCATCCAACCTAGGTGAGCTTAGAAATTAAGGAACAGACAAGCAGACGGTTTGGTGGATTGAGAACCATCTGACTGGTAGAGCTCAGAGGGTTGTGATCAGTGGCACAGAATCTAGTTGGAAACCTGTAGCTAGAGGTGTTTCCCTGAAGTTGGTACTGGATCAGATCTTGTTCAACATCTTCTTTAATAATCTGGATGAAGGGATAGAATCCTCCCTCACTAAGTTTGCTGATGATACAAAGTGAGAATGAGTGGCTAGCATATTTGCAATATGTAGACAGGCTGGAAAGCTCGGCAGAGAGTTACATGGTGAGCTTCAACAAGAGCAGGTGTAGGGTCCTGCAGATGGGGAGGAATATGCAACCACATGCATCAAAGCAGGTTAGGGGCTGGCCTGCTGGGGAGGAGCTCTGCAGAGAAGAACCTGGGTGTCCTAGTGGATAACAGGTTGACAGTGAGCCACCAGTGTGCCCTGGTGGCCAGAACAACCCAGGTTTCCATCAAAAAGAGAGTAGCCAGGAGGTCAGCTCTAGAAAGACAGGAATATCTCAGAGAGAGTCCAGCCAAAAGTCACAAAGCTGATTAGGAGCATAGAGCATCTCCCTCAGAAGGAAGTCTGAGAGACCTGGAGCTGTTCAGCTTGAAGAGAAGACTGACATGGGATCTTATCAGTGCACATAAATATGTAAAAAGCAAGAGTCTAGAGGATGGGGCTAGGCTTTGTTTAGTGATGCCCAGTGACAGAACAAGGAACAAAGGACAGTCTGGAACATAGATAGCTGCATCTGAATATAAGGAAAATCTACTTTGACTGTGGCGGAGCATTGGAACAAGCTGGCCAGAGAAGCTGTGAAGTCTCCTTCTATGGAGGTACTAGGTTTCATCAATAGAAGAGTAGCGAGCAGGTCAAGGGAGATGATCCTGCCACTCTACACTTTGATGGTGAGACCTATCACCTGGAGTACTGTGTCCAGATGTGGAGTCCTCACTACAGAAGAAATGTGGACCTACTGGCATCTTTCCAAGGAGGGCCACAAAAATGATTAAAGAGAGGGAACACCTCTCCTACGAGGACAGGATGAGTGCACTGGGGCTTCGGGGAGACCTGATAGCAGCCTTCCAGTATCTAAAGGGAGTTATTAGAATGAAGAGGACACTCTTTAGCAGGGTCTATTGTGACAGAACAAGGGGAAATGGATTCAAACAAAAAGAGCAGAGATTTAGATTGGACATATGAAGAAGTTTTTTTTATCGTAAGGATAGTGAAGCACTGGAATAGGTGGTCCAGAGAGGCGATGGATGTGTTTCTGAAGGCATTCAAGGTAAGCCTGAATGGATAATCCAAGACAGAACAGCTTCACCAAGGGAAGGTCGTGCCTGACCAATCAGGTGGCTTTCTACAATGGAGTGACACTCTATAATGGAGTGACACTCTATAATGGAGTGACTCTCTCAGCCTGTCCTCTTAGGGGAAGTGCTCCAGTCCTCTGATCATCTTCATGGCTTTCCTCTGGACCTGCTCCAACAGCTCAATGTTCTTCTTGTATGGGGGACCCCAGAACAGGACATAGTAGTATAAGTGGGATCTCACGAGAGCAGAGCAGAGAGTCAGAATCACCTCTCTTGACCAGCTGGTCATGCTTCTCTTGATGCAGCACAGGATATGGTTGGCCTTCTGGGCTGCAAGCGCACAGTGCCAGCTCATATTGAGATCTTCATCAAATGACACCCCCAGATTTTTTCCCCCCAGTCTGTTCTCAAGCCATTTTCTGCCCACCTTGTATTTGTGCTTAGGATTGCTCTGACCCATGTGCAGGACCTTGCACTTGGCCTTGTTGAACTTCATGAGGTTGGCATGGGCTCACCTCTCAAATTTGTCCAGGTCCCTCTGGATGGCATCCCTTCCCTCTACTCAGCTTGGTGTCTGCAAATTTTCAGAGAGTGCACTAGATTCCACTGTCCATATTGCCCACAAAGATGTTAAATACCACCGGTCCCAACAAAGATCCCTGAGGAACATCACCTGTCACCGGTCCCACTTGGACACTGAGCTATTGACTGCAACTCTGAGTATGACCATCCAGCCAGTTCCTTATCCATATCAGGTGTTCCATCTGACCTGAGTGTTCCATCCACCAAATCCATTTTTCTCCAATTTGTTGATCGGGATATTGTGCAGGACAACGTTTTGGTCATTGTAGCAAAAAGTCTCTAATGTGTCAAAGGAGAACGTGTCATTATGTTCTAATGACATTCAAATGTTCTCATTCTAAGGGGGGAACATTGTGATTTATCTACCTTCCGTGCCCAGAGATTCCTAAACTTTCTGCCTTAGCTAAAGGAGTATCTTTCCAAAAAAATTTTCTTAACCTTTTAAATACCTCACTCTGTCTTCCTGCGCAGAGCTTGCCAATACTAGGCCATGTGGTACTACCTAGCAGTGAAGGGGTAGTGTGTTAAGGCACAGAATACCCTAACTTCAATTTTGCAATCATTCACTACAATTCAGCTCTTGGTGAGAATTAAACAGTTAGAAAAATACAAGCCTAGTTTCATTTCTCAATTAATAGACTGTATACAATCAATACAGAGTGTACAGTCATGATTATATATTTCTAACATTACTCTAGAGACAGATTTGAAGCAAAAGTGAGCAGTACCTCATGCTGAGGTGAGAAGGCTTGGTTTCTTTTCACTTGTAAAGGTCAAAAAGATTCCAGAGGTTTGGGAGAACTCAAGCATGGCTAAATGAGGTAATTAAAAAAACTGTAATCGGTAGTCATTTGGGGTACCTGTATCCTTCCCTGAAGACATGAAGTTCATGTTCCAGGGATTCCAGAACCCTTTTCAAATTGCCTCTGAGATTTAGAGGTCCTTCCAAAACCTGTCTTTCATTTGCTTGTAGTGATGGTTTGGGGCTTCACAAAAGCAGATGATGTTGATGATGTTCATCATGTATGCTAAGCTGTGTATTAATATATGGACACACATGCATGCATACATGTAAGTGGGAAACAGTTCAGCTGAAGAAAAGTAAGGCATCTAGTCTATATGAAATTCTTTAGAATTTAGTTAGAATAAGACTTAGAGGGAAGAGCATTATTCTGAATTGGCTGCAGAAGG